CAAATTGAGTTCCTCCCTTAGTTCCTCATCGTTCATCTCCTCGTCGAGGGGAGATTCGGTCCACCTATAGGCCTTTGTGATTTTCACCAGAATGACTGCCTCAGTTCCGTAGGTTAGTCGGAATGGAGTCTCCCTGGTGGTCGAGTAAAGTGCCATCCTATAGGCCTAGAGTACGCTATGTAGCTCATCTACCCACCTTTTTTTAGCCTCGTCCAATCTTCATTTAAGGCCTTGCAGAATCACTATGTTTGTAGCTTCAGCCTGCCTGTTTGTTTGTGGGTGTTCGACAGACGTGAAATGTTGTTTTGTGCCCATTATGGCGATGTACTCTTGGAAGTTTTTATAGGTGAACTACGTCCTGTTATTGGTGACGAGTGCTTGTGGTACTCCGAACTGGAAAAGTATGTTTCTCTTGTAGAAAAGAAGTATGTTATGCGTTGTGATTTTGGCGAGGGCCTCAGCATCTATCCACTTCGTGATATAGTCATTGCTGACTATCAAGTACTTGTTCTGGTACGAACCCATGGTGAAGGGCCCGAGGATATCCATCCTCCACCAGGAAAAAGGCCACGGGGGGCGAGAGAGTTTTGAGCTCTTTGAACGGTACTAAGTGCATTTCCCTGTGACATTGGTACTTCTCGCACTTCTAGACATGTTCCTTCGTGTACTGCTACATCGTAGGCCAATAGTATCCCGCTCATAGAGCCTTTCAAGCGAGGGATCGTCCTCTGAGGTGTTAGGCGTTGATTCCTCTGTGGATCTCTTGAAGTATGTGGGCCACCTTGGACTCCTCGAAACACTTGAGAAAAGGGATGGAGAATCCCTGTCTATATAGCTTGTCTTCGATCAAAATGTTGGAGCAAGCTTAGTGCCTGATCACGTTAGCCTCTTTCGAGTCGGGGGGAAGTTCCCCTATGGCGAGGTACGTGTACACCGGGGTCATCCAGCAGCCATTGTCGTTGATGATGTTCACATTGATGGTCGTGGTGGGCTTCTCGATGCTTGGTCGAGAAAGTAAATCCTGGATGATGAACTTGTTTCCGCCCTTCTTCTTTGTGCTCGTGAGCTTCAACAGGATGCATGTCGGGTGTTGTGCTCATAAGGGACGTGCTTTACTTATGCGCAATTTAACTTTTTCATCCTTTATTTGACTAGGTTTAAGTACTCATCGAGGTTTTCATTTTTGGCTTGGTACTCTCCCCATACTTGAGAGGCGAAAGGCTGAGAATCGGTAAAGATCTTTACCTTTTCGTGCCTAGGTTCTCAACTAAGTGTAGCCCTGCGAGGAAGGTTTCACACTCGGCTTAGTTGTTCAAGGTCAAAAAGGATAAAGCAAGGGAAACTTCGATCAGGATGTCTTCTTTGTTCTCAAGAATGATGCCCGCACCACTGGCTAATTTGTGTCTAATCTCAGATAGATATGAATCGATAAAGAGTACATACAACAATCCTGAAAACGGATGGTAATATCCATCATCTTCACATGTACACTGCAATAGGCACATTGCGCAAAACTTCATGCGCGAGATTAAAGACAACAAACTATGCAAACAACTTGTTAACATGGGTAACAAAATACGTTTCAGTTACCGCAACTATTTTTCATACTTTTACTATATTTTTCATAACATTTCTATTACAGGTTACGCATTGACGGAGGCTACATTTAACTACTACCTCGGGGAAATCCGAAGAACAGATATTGAGGCTTCACGTTGGATAGACAACATGCCAAGGGAGAAGTGGGCTAGAGAATATGACGAAGGGAAAAGTTAGGGACACGTGACAACAAACATGGCAGAAGCCATGAACTCTATAATAAAGGCAACATGAAACATTCCAATCATTTCATTGGTCCAATCTACATACTATCGCCTAGGTTTCCTCTTTGGTAAAAGAGGCCACCAGTGGATAAAAATGCTGGCTTCCGGTAAAATTTTCACTGATGGTTTAAGGAAATGACTGATGAAGTAGCCAAGGCTAACACACATAAAGTTATGCAATTTGATCGCGAAAAATTTTGTTTCAAAAATTAATCAAAATGATGGTTGTCATACAGGTACTTTCAGCGTTGACCCAAGGAACTGGTGGTGTGATTGTGGAAAATTTCAAGCATTTCACTTGCCTTGCTCCCACGTTATCGCAACATGTTCTAGTATACATCAAGACTATTCCATTCATATTTCAGACGTCTTCAAAGTTCTTAACATATTTAAGGTCTACAAGGAAACCTTCCTAGGACTACTCCACTAGGAGAATTGACCACAATATGAAGAATTTACTTTTTACCACGACGAATCTATGAGAAGAAAGAAGAAGGGACGTCCAACCGGTACTAGGATTAGAACCGAAATGGACAGCGTTGAAAAGGAAAGGAGCATGTGTAGGATTTGTAGAGAAATATGTCATATGCGTAAAAAAATATTCAAATGTAGCAGCCCTGTCTAACCGACCCATTTAGATAATTTTATTTGTTTTTTAATTAAATAATTTAGTCAAGATTTTAGCTTTCATTTTATGTCTTTGTGATCCAACATTCATTTATAATTCAAGACAACTTTTACTAACAACTACAAAATAATGACTCTGCTCACAAAATAATAAGACAATGAACATTTAAATGATTGAACACATCAACATGCCTAAGAGATTACAACCATCAACACAATATCAGCTTGTCCATACATCATCATAACACAATCATAATCGTTTTTTACAGCTTTCTAGGATCTGGTATCTCTATCATTAACAAGTCTTTCAATTCTTCTAATCTTTTCACCTTCAGCAATTTCACCTTCTAACCACCTCACCAAACTTCTCTGAAAATGCTCGAATGTCACTGTGTTCCATAGTCGGATCGTAGAAAACAGTTGAGCATCTCTTTTGATAAGAGGAGTGTTTGAATTGGTAAAATACTCCATGCTTGAAAAAATATTCCAGACTTAAATGAAGAAATTGGTGTACTAAAACTGAAATTTAGAGTTTACCACACAAAGTTATTTGTAGAAAATAGAAAAATAATAAAATATTTCACTGCTCGTACAATGAACGGTCGAGCATCATCATGCCATAATTTATGTCTAATAAATAAAACTAAAACTCAAAAAATTGATATACAAGCTAATCAACAACAACAACCAACACAAGTAGATCTTGAACTCCTCTGTTAACTTCGTCACTATATGTTGAAAACATACATTGAACATCTTCATCATTTTCTATACGAACCAAGTAATACATGTACGTACCACCCGGACTTGTACCAGTCAACTTATATATGGATAACGATACTCTACTTTTCTCACCTTCATACAACGATCACCGAACTATCAAAAATCCGTATTAATCGTTGCAATCATATTTCTAAAATTCCACCATCTACTTTTTCTTATAGCGTACATTCACATGACCAAGTGCATCAATGGTTGCGAAGGGTTCAAGCTGTGACAATATTCAATTTTTCTTGTAGCGTACATTCACAAGGCAAAGGCAAGTGCATCAGGGTTCAAGCTTTCACGATATTCAATTTTTTTGTAGTGTACATTCACTAGTTTGATATAGATCTAATGGTTATTGAAATAAATGACTAAATTCAGAAACTTACTATCGGACAATAAGTTTTACTGAATTTAAATCTACTAAAATTATCATTTCACGCATTTGGTATTTTTATAATCATTGGATCATGATCTAACAGTCTAAATTTAAATATATATTTTAATTCATATCATTTAAAAAATATTTAACTTAAAATATTAATTGTTTAATCTTGATCTAACGATTGTAAAAATGTCGAATGAGTTAATGCAGCATTTCTACGACTGCAGATAATAGTAATACAAGTTTCACTTGTTGGTTGGGAACTGGAGCTCCAAAGGAAGCAAGCTTGTAAGGACTAGCAGCAAAAGCAGTAAAGCATACAGTAAATAAAAGGCATACAGTAAATAAAAGGTTTAACATTGGAGATAATCTCGGGCGATAAAATAAAAATTGCATGCAGTAAAGCATAAAGTAATTAAAAGGCTTAAGATTGGAGATAATCTTAGGCGATAAAATAAAAATTGCATGCATGCAATAAGGAAATACAAAATTGTTGAGGAAACACAAAATTGCAAGGCTTTTATCTTCTTCTGAAGGAAAAACAGATTTCATTTCAGAGTTTTATTTTATCTTTTACTTTCACTCACATTTATCTTATTATTTGAGTTTTTAGGTACACTACAACTATTCATAGACCTAAATAAGATATGCAAATTAGAAATATTAATCCTCTCATTAAAAATAATGTATATACATATTGTAAGAAAAACCAAAAATAACATACAATATAATCGGTTATATACAATTTAAAACTTAGCCGCAGTGCGGAGATTTTCTCACCGGTTTTTAGGAGTTTAAATTTCCGACTGCAGGGTCTTAAAATGGAGGGAAGCCCCCATGAGAATCCCCATTTAAATATACAAATTGACATCCCTAGCTATAATTGATGATACAAGTTTATAATATCACACCAAACCCACCAATTTAAAATTTTTACATACAATGTTCCATGTCAACTTAAAAAGGAAAAGGTGAAGAAGATTCGAGCTGCACTTTCTGCAGTAGTATTGACAATTCCATAATAACAAACTACTAGACATATAATAGGCATGTTGATAGAAACATAATGAGCAGTGCTAGCAACACATTTTCTAAAGAATGAATTTCTTCCCATAAAATTTTCACTAAATTTCTCTCAGTTTTAATCCTTGCCATTAAACTTCCCTATTCCCCTTTTTTTATATCTCAGTATCTCTCCTTTTTGATGGATTTCACTGGATGAAAAATATGACACGAGAGAATCCATTCCTCGTTCTCTGACACTCTTTCTGGTACTCTATTATTATCTGAAATTCATGTGTGGCTCACTGTGAATTTCAGCCAACAATCGAATGCCAGAATGTCGGATAGAAAATATGTTGCAAACACTTCTCATATATGAATAGTTTCGAAATAATAGTCTAACATTGGGAAGGCCTATCATAAGTTGGAGGAAGGGAAGGACAATGCTCATTCATATTAGCATACGGATCCAAGGTATTGTAGCCCGGAAATTCCATCCTATATTCACCAAGAATCTGGCAGAATGGAAGTCTGTCATTCTCATTTTGGCACCATCTTGGTAGACGTGTCTGATTATCTTCAAAAATCCTAAGCATGTATGCATCGCGAATCTGCCAATGATAACATGGTCACATACGATTAAGAAAAAGAAATTGTAGCATCGAGCCGAGATTCATGCAATCACTAAGACAACTTGACTTACCGTGAATTCAGTTACTTGAATAGAGCTAGAAATGGAACCGAAAATTCCAGCCTCTTTATACATTGAAAGAATAAATGCCACACATGTTGTTGACTTGCCATCACTATATTCCCAATCATCTTGTTCTGGAATGGCAAGCAATTCATCGAAAGTTATCCCACGCTTCTCAGTCTCGAGTAGAATGTCATGTAAATCTAAATCCTGAAAGCACAAACAAATGAGATCCTATTGACTGAAAAAATAATACCTGGACAAAAAATAACATACCACTGGAGTTTATGCAATCCTAACTAAAATTGAAGACATATTCAATAGAATTTGTGGTGAACTATTTAAAAAATAGATGATCAGTAAGAGCGTTACAGAAACATCAATCAGATTTATATAAGACTAGAATATGTTTTTGGTCCTTTATCTTTTACCCAATGTTCACTCCTCTAGTTATTTAACTTGCAAAAGATTTATTTTAATCATTCATGTTTTGTATGTTATATTATCAACATTAAAAAAGTAATGTAAGAATTGAATGTAACCTGCCACTGAAAAATGGGGAAGACAATGCAGTAATGGGCCTGCAATTTCATTTTATCTGAAATTTTATGTGTGAATCCCTGACCATAGCTCTCAATTTGGAGTTAAGGAAGAATACAATCTAAAAAAATTAAAGTTATAGGTCACATTCACGCATCTACCAACTGGAAGCGATTCTTTGCCAAATACAATGGCCATACCCACATCAGCATCTTTTACAGAGATGGTAAAAGACTAATATGTGCAACTGTTGGAGAATAAGGGGAAGCCATGACCTCGTGGATTTTATTTTATTCTATTCAGATCTTCCTATCTAATTTAAACAGTATTTGACTGCTGAATAAAATACAATAGCATTTTACCACTGCTTTTCTACAATATCGTGTAAAACATAAAGAACTAAATGAATCTTTTAAAACATAATGGACCATAATAAACAATGGATAAAAGATAAACTACCAAAAGCGTATTTTAGCTTTTCTATAAAAACAAGAATGCTTCAGATATAATCTAATATACAAGTAAAAAAGAATTAAGCCTAAAAAATTTGAAAAAATAGCACATTTACAAAACAACTACCATATTGTAACAAAGTCAAGGCATGAAGTCCCAAGAGAGCAATTTTTCATGCAATGTAAAAAGGAAATCCTGAAATAAAACTAAAAGCCATGTGAATATCATGTTAAATCTTTTGTAATTTGTCTTGGCACCAATGTTATAAAGTATACAATAGCACCAGAAACACATCGAGATCAGCGGTAACCTAAATTTCCAATTTTATGTAATCTCCACTTGTTTTGGCCGAGGATTGGTCCAAATGAAAAAAATAATAATAATAATGAAGGACAATATGTACATGGAATTGTGAATTTGAATATATATGGTAAAACAGCATCGAGATATACCTCGGTCCCTAGCCGCTTATTCAGTGCTTCATTCCACATGTTTGCAGCATAAGCTGGCTGCATCCTTGTCCACATAGACATGACAGAAGTTACCTGCATATAACATGTAAATCTGTTGTAAAAAACATGTAAATAAAAAATAGACTACAATAGCTCTCAAGGAACAACAGCAGATAACATTGATTAAAAAAAATTGCACTTGAGAGCCACAGGTAAGGAAGTGTGTAGATTAGTTGCTCTTTCTTCAAGCACTAATATGTTGGGCATTGCAGAACTGTAAGGAAGAACATTTTTTCTTGAAGTTGTAACAGAAATCTTGACAATAATTTGCTTTCTTAATGCCCTATTTACTAACTATCAACTAATCATGATTCAAATTGTTTCTAACAAATAGCAATAGGTTTTATCACCCATTCCCTTAGTAAGACAACAGTGGTTTTCAGTTAAACATATATTCTATGAAACTCTAGTTCAATTGCATATTTGTGTTACTCTCTTTTCTGAAAAAGATTAACATAATCTTTTGTACTACTCTCTATTTATGTTACTCTGCACAAATAAGAAAAATGATTAAATACCAAGTGAGCATCAAGAGGAGGAGGATAGTTGTCAGCTACTGTGTCAATCCAACTGAATATCATATTGTGATAACCATATGGCTTGCCAGACATGATCCGCGCATACTCCCATGCTGCAGTGGAGTTGAATTTTGCACGCAACTCTGGATGCAGGGGAAGCAACGCTATCTGTGGGTTGGAATCATCTTTAAGAGCAGACTCCCACCATTCGTGCCATGGAATTACCACTATTATTTCTTCACCCTGCACAAAGACAGACCTTCAAGATAGCATAATCATGTATGGACTAATGGAGATCAGTCACTACCCTTGGTAACTATGATCTATGAAGCAATCTATCGATTACAAAATTCAGAATTTACAAATGAAGAGATTGAGGTGGTGTTGCAACGAACATTTTTAGAAAAAAAAATCCATAATGAAAATATATGGCGTGGTATATTGAACCGTAAAATCTTCCACACTTATACCTTTTCATTCTCATGCCCAGATTCACCAACCCACAGATTCCCCATTTCATCCTTCAAGCAAACTGCTGTATGACCAGCAAATGCACCAGTTACCCACTTTTCAAGTGTCTCAAAACCTCCCCACCTACCGCGGATTTTTGACACAGCCAAAAAATCTCCAGAATGAACATCTGCAGGATCAATAGTTGCACGCCAAGGCTGAATACGTTTCTCAAACGTAGCTCCCATGTGCTTCTTTAGAAACTCCAAATTGGATTTCTGGCCCCATGCAGTGTTAGAGAATAAAGGCAACACATCGACTAGAGAAAGCAGCGTACCGAGCATTCCTGCTGGCATTAGGAACACAGAAATTCCGTGCTGCTTTACCTGTACAATTCAGTGAGAATTTTCTTTCTGAAATTAGAATCCACCCACAAAAAGATTCAAACACAAGAAAACTACACAAAAGAAAATACATATTCCAACTCTGCAGGCTCTTCCCAAGAATCAAGCTTCAAGGTATGCTCTCGTGCAGAGAAGTAGTAGTCCCATGTAACCCTGTACGGGGTTGCGAAAACATACAGATCCATGCAGGTCCAGCTGTGTGCTTCCTCTGTCTGTAACAGACCAAAAATTATACTTATGGCAGAGCACAAAACAAAATTCACAATCCACATGCTTATATTTTTAATTAATCCAACCAACAACTGCATCTAATTCCAAGTAGTATCAAACTGATTCAAACATAACTTAAATTCAGACAAAAAGAGATATGTATTAGCCCCCAAGAAACTATAAAGTGTTCTCCATAATTTTCAAATGGTTAAGAGTCTCACATCGAACAACATATAATGGGGGCAATCCTCGCCATACAAGAAGGTTTTGTAGGGTTGAGTTAAGCCCAACCACATTTCTTAACATGGTATCAGAGCCAAGTTTTAAGATCCAGTGGGCCACAAGCTATCAAGTTTCCGCTATCGGGCCACCCGCCATTTATTTCCACGCTCCAGATATTCAATCCAACGCATGAGAGGGTGTGTTAAGAGTCCCACATCGGACAATATATGGCTTGAACGTGTACTTAAAAGTGGGGGGCAATCACAAACCAATTTTGTAGGAATGAGTTAGGTCCAACCAAATTTCTTAACACAGATAAAAGACAATTCTATAGATAATTATCAGATCAGATTACTATTATTATAATAAAAAAATCAGCCATTATTATGAGTCCGATTACACTTAATCAAACAGAGAATATAGTTATACATAAGTGCAAGTGCAAGTGCAAGCAGTTCCACTACTCATTAAAAACACAGCAACTGCAATTCAACTCATATATCCTCAACTACTATCCCATATGGATCATACCATCCGTGAATCAAAATCATGAAATTGAAAGTGGTGAAACAGCTGTTTTTCCAGTTTCTTTAAAAGCAAAAGGGTAAGCGATATAGAAACAAACATATACATAATTTATGTAAACGTTTAGCTTAAAAGCATGACACAAACACAAGTATCTAAATCCAATCACTTTTATTTTCTAACATCATCTTCTGTGTCAACCTCCCAGTGTCTACATACCAGTATCAGTGTCACCGCCTATGTCATGCTTGATAGTAATAAACATTAAGGCTAAGTATGAATGGGGAATTTTGAAAAAGATAACTATATTTTGGTATAAATTTTGAAAAGAAATATTTTTTTTTTAAACAACACCGTGATAGATGACAACTAATGTTTCAATCGTAATCAATTCATTTTCAGAAACATTTGATAGCATTCTTAATTTAGAAAAAAAATTAATTTTTCAGATCGCTTCCAAAATTTTGTTCAAATATACCCTAAAAAAATCTCAACACAATTAAAACTTATGAAAACAATAAAAGAAATGAAACAATACCTTGAGATAGAGAATGGCACCACCCAAACCAGAATCATTTCTGTCTCCATTAGTGAACTCAAGCTTCGCTTGATTATCAAAAAAGCAAGCCCCTTTCCATTCAATAGACCCGTTATAAGGAGTCACCGATCCAACAAACGAAGGAAGCAAATCAACGGCACTATGGAAATTATTGAGTACAGGCCATGATATCCCAGGGGGAAGAACTGGTAACAAATCGTTGACTCTGAAAGGAACTTTAAGAGAATCACCTAAAGGTGAAAATAGGGTTAGGATTAAGAGCACGAGAAAGGGAAAAAGAGACATGGAATTGTGGAATTTGGGGTTCAGGGGGTTTGGTCCATTTGGGGATTAGGGATTTGAGGAGAAATGTGGATAATGGTGATGGTGGTGATGGTTAGGGAAATTAGCGTGGACGGTTGCGGGGTTGATGGAGACGCGGAAATGAAACGTGGCGTGTAGGGAGGGGATGATGGAAAACTGAATGCGGTATTTCATATTGACTACAACGTGTTTATTTCGATATGTCCAAGTGAAGTCACATTGTTTAGATCGTTACCGTTTTCGTTTTCATTTACTATAAGTATTTTTTAATTTTTGTAATCTTTTATTAAAATATCAACTTCAAATATTTATCACGTATTTGGTAGTATTTTATTAAAACTATTATTTTTTTTAAGCCAATCACTAATATATATATATATATATATATTTATTTTTATTTTTTTCTGGATTGAGTCGAAGTCTGCCCCTCAATCGGGTAGACTCAACTTAATACTACGATAGGGAGGTTTAACAACGTTCAATCTTCTCATGTCGGGCATACAAGACCCTAAATCGAGCAGACCACAACCTAGCATTGGGAAAACTCACGCGTCCCTCATGCGGGAACACGTCATCAAGCAATTATCCACTTCCGAAGGAATTGGTCAGCCCACCTTCCGAAGATCGCGGAACAGTTGATTCAGGGCAAAAACCACGTGCTGGTCTTCCCTACGCCACATAAGCTCTGGCAGTTACTTGTGTTGGGCTTGGCAATCCGGCCCAATGCAATGTAATTGTTGGCCCTGCGTTGGGGGCACATTATAAATACCTTTTTCACTACGGGGTCAGGTATTTCATTCTCTACACATATTCTTTATGTACTTGCGGTTTCTAACTCCGTTACTCACTTAAGCATTGTAACTCCGTTACTCACTTAAGCATTGAAGTACCTTGCAAGTACACCTCTCTCCTCCTCCACAACAGTGGTGATCACAGAAGCTCACGATGTGTGGCAGGCTGCTGATTCTTTTTTGATCGGGTAAGATCAGTGGTGCCGTCTGTGGAAACTTTTCGCTCCCTCGTTCTTTCTCCTATATAAGCGTAGAAGCTCAAGAAGCAAAGCAACGTCCAACTTCCGTTTGATCATTGCCAGCCCACGCAACGACAATGCTCCAGAAACTGCATTCGTCTCATTAACCAACGGTGATGGCCACTATCCTAATGTGACCATTCATGTCGATGAGGGCGACTCTAGGGACGGGCACATCGTCTCTCCCTCCTCGGAAGATGCATCCTTCAACTCCGTCCACCGCTTTGATAGCCCGGCTGTCTACCAGCCTATCCTGGTGCCACTCTGCGTCGACCCCGCCATGGTGGCCCTGTTCGCTGCGATCAACCAGACCAACCTAATGATCTTCCAACAGAATGAGCACATAGGGATGCTTGAGAAGGAGCGACAATCACGCTCTCCCCCGCGGAGACATCATCGCCCCATCTCCAGCAACCCCTCTCCTCCATCGCGGAGGACGCGACGCGACGACTCTCGAAGCTCTTCTCCCCGACCTACCGAACGTCGCCCTCGCTTGGAGCAGCCTCAACCAATCGCCTCCCAAAAGCGCGATCGCTCACCTCCTTAGAAGGAGCGACGCTCCCCCGTGCAGAAAAGGAACAAAGCTGAAGGAGGTGTCGGGAAGCTAAAGAGTCGCCCGAGGAGTCCTCTCTGAAGAAACAGAAATAATGTCGGTGACCTTTCCTCTTCTCGGTCACCTGTCAAGAGCGATGAGGACGACCAGCGCTCACCATTGTTTAGGGCCATCAGGGTGACTCCATTGCCCGTCGGGATGGAAAAGCCCCCACCCTTGGTGACATATGATTGCACGACTGACCTAAACGACTACATAGAAAGCATTGATGTGATGCTTGACTATCGGAATGTATGAGGAGCCATAAAGTGCAGCCTTTTTCCCACTACCCTGAGGAAGGGTGTCATGACGTGGTACAAATGTCTCGCGCCCGAGTTCATCACCTCCTGGGGCGAACTGAAGAGGCAGTTCTCCAGGAACTTCACAGCTTCCCAGCCTCATCTAAAGACAGAGGCAGCCCTGGAAGCCATCATCCATGAAAGAAACAAACCTATTCAGGATTACATATAGAGGTTCAACCGAGAAGCTGTCCAAGTGGCCACCTCGGACGACATGAAGAAATTCCTGATCGAGCGAGGACTCTGTCCTCGCACCAAATTCGCCAAGGTTGTCAGGATCGAACGACCTCACACCTTGAATGCTTACCTCCTCAAGGCACAATCATACATCGAGTATGAGAAAATAGAGACTGCCCGCGACACGTGGAATCAAGAGGGCATCAGGAGCACCACGCACGAGGATGTTGTTGCTCCTTGAAGAGGCGGAGAAAGAAGAAGAGGAGACCGACCCCGAGAACAGAGAGGGCCACCAGGCCGGTTCATCGAGTACACGCTACTCACATCTCCCTGCAAGCGCATCCTGGCCAAATGTATTAACTTTGAGTTTCAGAGAGGCGGTGTCTGTTTTCCGAAATCGACGCCCCCGAAGCCCAACGTTAACAAATCCAAATATTGTCGATTCCACTAGAGTCATGGACACGTCGCGGAAGATTGCATCCACCTCAAGGATGCAATTGAGATCCTGACTAAAATAGTACACCCGAAGAAACGAGGCTCCTCGATAAAAGACCCGTGAAGCCAAAAGGATCGAGGAAGTGTCATCGCCCTCCGAAGAAGCCGGAATGCAGGTCGCCCTATGTGTCTCCCATCCAAAGGATTTTCTCCTTCTCAACGAGCCCACCATACCTCTATCCGCCTATAGTCGATGAGAAGACTTTCCCACCTCCTTATTCATATTCGGAGGGGGCTCCAACAAGCTCTCAGTCGGGTCGGTTAAGAGAAAGTTTGAGGAGCTGATCGACAAAAGCTTGAAGACAAACGCTACCCTCGACAAGTTCAAAGGTCAATCGAACCTGATTACCTTCTACCTTGAGGAGCTCTCCAGGAGTGCGCTCAACTCCAGCATCCCCCTCTTGATCAAGGCCCAGATGGTGAACTTCGACGTGCGTCGAATCCTAGTCGACCAAGGGAGTTCGGTGGACATGATGTACGTCCATCTATTTATGACCCTCCAGCTCGACGAGACCCACCTGACCCCGTATGTCGGCTCCGACCTACAGGAATTCAACACCACCACCACAAATCCTTAGGGATACGTGGAGCTGCTCGTCACATTCGGAGCCGAGGAGACCGGCAGGAAAATAAAGGTCTGCTTCTCGGTGATCGAATGCCCTTCTGTATACTAGTGTATTTTAGGAAGGCCGAATTTAGCTGAACTGACTGCAGTACCATCTATAATACAACTGAATATGAAGTATTACACGACCAGAGGACGGGTCGTCACCTCCCACGGGAACATTGAGGCGGCAAGGAGATGTTTCGAAGAAGCAATCAAGGGCCTCAACTCAATCAACATCACCTCCAAGACGACCGACAAATCAGCCTGGGCTGTTGAGCAGAGGCCACTATCCCGCGTCAACTTCGTCGAACTCAATAGTTGGTTCCCCAACGAGCAGGAAAAGGTCGTAGAATCTGAGGACACACCTCCAACAAACATCAGGTAACCTTCCCACCCAACGCGCCCCATTCCAGAAAGAGACTTCGAGCTCATCGCGCTAGGAGATGACCCAAGAAGAAGCGTAAAGATTGGCACTCGACTCCCCAACCTGGCAAGGAAACAACTAAAGGTCTGCCTCCGGGAAAACACTGACCTGTTCGTGTGGAATGCTGCTGAAGGAATCAGAAGGACTCGCGTGAGGTCAACCTCATCGCGAACTGGGAAGGCCCCTATCGAGTCTGAGACAAAACAGGCAACGGGGCTTATTACCTCGAAAATCTGCACGGGGAAGAACTTGTTCAACCATGGAACACTAAAAAACTCAAACAATACTACAGTTAAACACTGCCGACGACCCACGAGCGTTGCGACCACATGGGCGTGACATGGTACAGGTGCGACTCCTAAATTTAAAACAGAGATAAGAGTCTACCCTTGGTGTGTGCGAGCAGGCTCTTGATCCGACGAGGACCCCTCGATCGAGCTCCACCATTGTCGTACCAGTAAGGAAGAACACCCAGCTCGTGATGGGAAGTTCATGTCGCAGGGCAAAGACCTCAACCAAGGTCTTAGCTTTGTTACTGATCGAAAGCTAACTCCAATCAGCCAACCAATTCCCTGCACGATCGTTCACAACAATATGTCAAGCAAAACCCCCAATAACGAGCATACAACACGCACTATCTCATACACAAAACAACAAAAATAGAGCACACAAAATAAAAGTAGAATATTACATTTCCAAAGTGCAGGTAGAGCCCATTTTTCAAAGGGTACAAATACGGCACGCAGGCCAGAGACAATTACATCAAAATGAGGCACGCAGGCCAAGAAAAATAAATACAACAAAAAGCATTGAACAACTACATTCTCCTCGAGTGGGTCACCCCTGTGCCTGGCCGTCATCCTCCTCTTCGACTTCTGGTGCGACCACACGACCCTCAACCACCCGATTATAGGGGCTTGTTCCCTCGGTGACAAGCTAGACACCAGGGTTTGCAACCTGAAGCTGCTCCACAGCACTGTTGAAACCCACCTCAAGAGCCCCCAGACAATCCTGCTCGAGCTCTCAGATCTTCAACACCAGGTTAGCTTGAGACGCCATGAGCTTCTATTCAGCAGATTCATCCTCAACCGGCCTGGCTTTGGACTCCAAATCATCCACCTTGGTATACAGTCAACCTCGCTCCTCCTTTGCCTTCTTTAGCTCGTCCTTCATATTGTTCATCTCATGAAGGAGGCGCACATGGGCTTCATACATCGTCTGAGCCTCCTGCAAGTTGATCTTCGTGCACATGGGCTTCATACATCGTCTGAGCCTCCTGCAAGTTGATCTTCGCCTTGTTCTTCTCGGCCTCAAGGACGATGATCTCTTCTCATAGCTTCTTCAGCTCAGAGGTTGGG